AAAGAGTGTTTAGTTAGAGAGAAAATTGTCGAGAATCAAAAGGAAATCTTGTTGAGAGAGAAGTGAATTGGAAAATTTTTTTGTATTAATATTATGTTTCTCCAGACTTTAAATGATTATGAAGGATATACATGAATATTTTGATTAGATTTGAATTTGACATAAACATAAATTAATTGCCCATATGGCAAAATATCCCACATCGGAAGCCAGATGATAAATTTCAACTTTATAAAGTTAGTAACGAAACCAAAAGCTCGCCGAGCTCAGTCACGTGAGCTTGTGACCCAAGCGGGGGCATTGAGGTGATGCGGACATCGGATCGTGCACTCTGGTCGGGTCCGGTGGGGTGCTCACTGGCTCGCCCGGTCCAAGTAAGGAGTTGAGCTGCGGGGGTTGGGTGAAGGCTCGGACCACGTGGCTCCTAGAGCGGTGGGCAATGCGTGAGGCTGGTTTCACAGAGCAGCGAAAACCTCCCGCTCCTTGCAGTGGGCGGATAACGGGCCGGTTCCGCTCCTTTTTTTGTTTTTTGTTTTTTTTTTAATTTTTTTATTTCTGGAGTTTATAAAAATTTCTAGATTTTTGTTTTACCGCGACAATAACTACTCGACTAAAATTGACCCAAATACCCCTGCGGACCCGCCGATATATTACAACCGGATCACCGCCGCAAACTGAAGATCTGATTCCCCTTGGTATCAAAACCACTCATACCTAAATCTACTTCCCCACTCTCAAAATCACACAAACACTCGCACGAAGACCATCTACACTGCCCGATTTCGACCGAATCCTTGTCGATTTTGAGCCGGAAACTTCTCCGTTGCACGATTTCGACCTAAATCGACGAGAAGGATTTCGGTCATGGTCCGGAGCTCCTCCGCCGATGCGTGGGCGGATTACGCGCCTGAATTCTCATCCGGTCCGGTGTTTGAGAGAGCTTGCAATCTCGTCGACAAATACCTCGAGACTCGCACTTTTCTCCACGGCCATTCTCTTTCCGCTGCTGACGTTGCTGTTTGGTCTGCCCTTTCTGGTAAGTTCATCGACCCTTTTATCTCTCTATCCTTCGCTGGTGGATCGAGGAAGTTTAAATCGAAGCTATTTCTCTCTGTTTTAAGTTCATATGTTGCAAGTTTTCAGTGACCTAATCAACCCTCTGTGTCCGTGGATTGGCAGGAACTGGCCAACGATGGGGAAGTTTGAGGAGATCTCAAAAGTATCCGAACCTTGCTAGGTGATTCAATTCAGTGTCGGAAGAGTTCAGTGATTCCCTCCTCCCCTCAGGGTATAGTATGAAAAAAGGTTTAGAAAAGGCGGCGGCGAAACCCAAAGAGCAACAAGCTGTGGTTGATCTGCCGGATGCTGAGGTTGGAAAGGTTCGACTTCGGTTTGCTCCCGAGCCAAGTGGTTATCTTCACATCGGTCACTCCAAGGCAGCTCTCCTAAACAAGTATTTTGCCGACCGCTATCAAGGTCAGATCATTGTCCGATTTGACGATACCAATCCCGCAAAAGAGAGCAACGAGTTTGTGGAGAATCTTCTCAAGGATATCCAGACTCTGGGTATCGATTACGAGGCTGTGACTTTCACCTCAGATTATTTTCCCGATTTGATGGCAATGGCCGAAAAGCTGATCCTTGAATCCAAGGCATATGTCGATGACACTCCTCGAGAGCAGATGTAGAAAGAGAGGATGGACGGCATCGAGTCGAAATGTAGGCATAACGGTGTTGAGGAGAATTTGAAGCTCTGGGAGGAGATGATCGAGGGAACCGAAAGAGGTTTACAGTGTTGTCTTCGTGGGAAATTAGATATGAAAGACCCTAACAAATCCCTCCGAGATCCAGTCTATTATCGCTGCAATCCTATTCCTCACCACCGTATCGGGTCCAAGTACAAGATATATCCTACATACGATTTTGCTTGCCCGTTTGTTGATTCTGTGGAAGGTATAACGCATGCCCTTCGGTCCAGCGAGTATCATAACCGTAATGCGCAGTATCACCGAGTTCAAGAGGACATGGGCCTGCGAAAGGTCCACATTTACGAGTTTAGCCGATTAAACATGGTCTATACTGTTCTCAGCAAGCGCAAGCTTCTCTGGTTTGTCCAGAACGGCAAGGTCGATGGATGGGATGATCCCCGTTTTCCAACCGTTCAAGGTATTGTCCGTAGGGGTTTGAAGATCGAGGCGCTAATCCAGTTCATTCTTGAGCAGGTAAGAGACTCTTGGAATGACTGTAGACTAAGGTATCGGCTTCTGTTCAGGGATACATTTCTCATGAGTTGGCACATTCTGGTATTATGAAAACGATGCTTCTTCCCCATTGTCAGATTTCCCTGCATCCTTCTGGTTTGTATGTTTCCTCTTCGTTCACTGTACTAATTCCATTTCCCATTTGTTTCAGGGGGCGTCAAAGAACTTAAATCTAATGATGTGGGATAAGCTGTGGTCCATTAACAAGAAAGTAATCGACCCGGTCTGTCCTAGGCATACAGCTGTGGTGGAGAAGAGACGAGTATTGTTGACATTGACGAATGGCCCCGATGAGCCATTTGTCCGCATATTACCGAGGCACAAGAAGTGCGCATGTTCTGGAGAGAAGGCTACCACTTACAGCAAGAGGGTCTGGATAGACCAAGCTGATGCAATGGCAATCTCGGTGAACGAAGAAGTGACTCTGATGGACTGGGGAAATGCCATAGTGAAGGAAATCGCTAAGGCCAATGACGGGCATGTCGTGGCATTAACGGGCGTTCTTCATCTCGAAGAATCCGTCAAGGCTACGAAGCTGAAGCTCACATGGCTTCCCGACACTAACGAGCTGGTTAACCTCTCACTGATGGAGTTTGACTATCTCATCACCAAGAAGAAGGTAAAAAAAAAAAAAAAAAAATCATTCATGGGTTCTTCTCTAATCCTTCTGATGGTATTGTCTTGATATGAACATGTGTCTGATGATTGGCTCGAATGAAATCAGCTGGATGAAGGAGAGGATTTCGTCGATGTCGTGAATCCGTGCACCAGAAAGGAGACGCCGGCACTGGGAGATCCCAACATGAGGAATCTAAAACAAGGCGACGTGGTTCAGCTCGAGAGGAAGGGCTTTTTCAGATGCGATGCCCCTTTCCGTAAACCCTCCAAACCCCGTCGTCTTGTTCGCAATTCCCGACGGCCGACAACCAAAAACTCCTCCGAGTTGTTGATTACTTAGAGAATATACATGTACATATAAGGTATCCGATGATATCGGTGCTTCTCATAGGACACGTGTCTTCTTTTTAGAAATTGTTCACACGCCAAGCCAAGGTAATTGGGATTTTGACGCTTACAAGTCATCGTTTAAAACATACAAAAAATGCATTTCATAATAAATATAATATAATATAATATATATACACGAAATAAAAGTGATACACTTTGATCTTTCCAAAGTTACGGGATTTTCAGTTAAAGTGCAATGAAGTCATACAACTTGGTAAACAGACAAGTCTATTGTTTTGGATTTCCTTTCAATTATTTTGTTCTTTCCGATCATTGAAAAATCTATACTATATTCATTCAGTTTGAATATTATTATTCAAGAATATATATTTTGACAAAAACATTTCGATTTTATTTCGTATTTGATCCATTTGAATAAAGAAAATTTGTATCTAATTATTTTCAACATCAAATTCGCCTAATATAAAAAAGAGATATTAATAGATTGTTTTGATTTTATAAATACAAACCAAAATATGTTCTCTAGATATAGCAATGTTGCCCGCTACGCACTTCTTCAAATGATAGGGAATACGAACCCTACCAAATCGAAAGTTAGCTTGAATTTTCTACATATTTGGCGCCCACATATCCGTAATGGACCGTAAAATTTTTAAAATTTTAAATTTTAAATAAAAATAAATTGGACCGAAGGGGGGGAAAGGAAGCTAGAGACAATGGTCATACTTTAAGGCTACGCTTCGGTGGAAGCGGCAAACTGAAACGATAGCCACATTATTTTTGTTTTTGTAAAATTCAAATTTTGGTTACAAATAAAATATTATATTTTGATTAAAATAAATTTGGAGAGTATTGTGCTTTACAGATTGGCAAGTCCAACTTCTGTCCCGACAAAGACAAAATTCTTATATAAAATTATTAATTCAAAAAATGAAATAAAAACAAAATAATACGAACATCATCATTCATGTTCTTCTTCATTCATTTCCTTACAATTCCAAAACTATTAATCTCCAACTCACAGAATAGAGACCGAAAAAAAAAGGGTTAATCGAAGAACGCACAAACGAACAAATTCCAACGTAAAAGGAAAAAATTACAGATTCTTAATTTGTTAGCTATTACTTCCCAGAAGAAAAAAACCCTAATTTCCTCTTATTAACCATCGCCGTCGTCTTCCTCCAATGGCGGATCCAATAACCTAAGCGTAAACAGAGCCGTAGGAGAGGGCCATCAGGAGTACGGCGGCTTGCTCTTCCTCCCCAAGCTTCCGCCGCTGCTTCTCCACCGTCGATCTCTGCATCATCACTTCTCTTCCCAACTCCATCAACCTCTGCTTCAACGAATCACCAATCTTAGGGTTTCTGTTGTGATTCCCACCGGAACCACCCTTTCTCGGCTTCTTATCCTCCGATCCGCAGGCTGCGGCTGCGGCGATCACCGCCCGTCTCTTCTTCCTGCTCCTGATCCCGCAAGCGTTACACAAAGACTGCAAAACAGATCAGATCGGAGTCAGATCGGATAACAGAAGCCGAGTCGAGTCGGGATCGGATCAGTGTCGAATCGCGTATATGGGTATACCTTCGGGCCGGCGGGACCGCCTCGCCAGAGAGGGGTTTTGCTGGTGCCGCAATCGGCGCAAGTCTTCTTCGTCTCGTTGATGGCACTTCCATTGCTGATACAGCTGCTGCTCTTGTTCTCTTCGTTTGAATCAAGAGCTGAGTGCTTCCTCTTCATGGCTTCAGAATCCGAGACCTGAAACAACGAGACGGAATAATATCCACCGCGATCAGCTCGATAGATCTCAAGAATCCAGCATCAGAACCGTGAAAACAGAGTACGGAAGCAGATTACTCACTTTCTCGCTGGGTTGTAGCATTTTCGCTCGTCACTCAGAAAATATCGACCAGACCCAGATCGTGGAGAGGGGGGAATCGGAAAGGGGGGTTTTGGTTCAGATCGAAGTCGACGCAATACTACTAAGCCGCGATCTAAAGCTAGATTTTCGAACAGAGATCGGCGAAAGCAAGAGGTGATCTCGTCTCCGGGAGAAGAAGATCAATGGAAAGGACCCGAGAGACGAGATCAAGGAGAGAAGATCAAACCGACTATGCATAGACCTAGAGAGAGAGAGAGAGTGAAAGTGTCAGAAAGAGAGATTTTAGAGAACCGATCCGACAGACCGCACGCAGCAGATCTAAACATCGCTATATAAATATTGTCGTAAAAACCCTAGCCTTTTCGGATGAAATGACGTAATTACCCTTCAACTCGTACTCTATTATCAGCCTTGCCACCCGCCAAAACCTGCACAAAAGGAAAGAGAGAACAAACTGAGAGGGGGGGCTCTTTTTGTGCTGCAACGAAAAAAAATGGGCGAAATTTGACTGGTTTTCAGGGGAGCAATTATAAGCTACGGACAGAGTACGGTAAACTGGATAGTCAATGGTACACGTGTCTGGGATCACAACCGTCAGATTAAGATTCCTAGAAGTGGATTCAGCGTAGTGTAGTCCACCACACTTCACTCAAACAAACCTCACAAATCACTTGGTTATTATTAATATTAGATTAGCCCATTACTTGTTTTATTCCTTGGTGCGCGTATGTATACATATATACACATAGCAGTATGTGTTTGTGTATATAAAGAAGAGGAACTACAAATGAGATTGTGAAAGAACTTCAACAAAAACCAATTGGTGAAGAGCGTGTGATCTGTTCAAAGGTGTGTTAGGGTTTCGCATCTTCATGCATTTGAGGCCCTTTTTACTTCCAATAATTTTTTTTTTGGGGGGGGGGAGACAATATAACATAATTTTGGCCAAAAATGGAAATTGAAACGACGCTTAAGAAATCAAGAAAACGAAAACGGAACAAACTATAAGACGAAGAAGTAGTTTACGAAGGATAAAGAAATGGGAGGAGTGGCAAGAAATTAGCCAAGTAGACAAGGGTTGAACCATATGATATAACACGCATCCCGTTATGCATCTTTTCATCAAGTTGGCCGTAATTAATTGATCAAGATGCATCTGTTTGATCACTCTTTTCAAAACCGCATCAATGAGTGATTTTGAACAATGAATGAATATAACAATAAAAACATATGCATACATGCGGTCGTACAGCAAAATAAGACATTAAAAACGTTTTCAACGACCAAGACAGACTACAAAAGAGTGTAAATAAACCACCTCAACAATCCTTTTGACATTTATAAAATTTGTTTTTTTTTATAAAAAAAAAACCCTTGGGTCCAAAACAACATATCAAAGTAGAACAAGAAGACTCCATTACAAAATCAAAGTAGAATAATATAAAATAATAAAATAAACCCAAAAGGATAAAAACAGAGATAAAACTCGGGAATGGGTGTACCGATTGGTGAGACTTCAAAATCACCCCCGAGAGGACATCGAAACGCAGCGTTTCATTATCTCCCACACAACAGGCTTTGCACCCATGGAACCCAAAACTGAAAGCTTTTCTTTGCTTTCACTCTGCTGTACTCTTTTTTTTTTTTTAAAGACCGACCTGACCCCCGACCATGACCCCGACCCTGACAACTGACCTTCACATTGCATTCCCATCAAAACCTTCAAAGCTCTGGTTTGGAGGTTTTGTTAGTTGGAGGGTTATTACCTTTTGAGTTCAGCCGAACTTGAATCCTCCGGATGGAACTGGAACTTGGTTCCCTCCAAACTGAAATCCTGGCTGAGACCCATCTCCAGGAGGTAGTGTCTCGTCCTCCTCATCTTCCTCGAGCCAGTATGTCTCGAGGATCTTCACAGCCTTCTCATAGATCTCATTGTTGTCGTGGCTCTGCAGATTCTCGATCTTTTCCAATCCCTCCGCATCGTCGATAAGCTGGGCATAATAGTTTGTGTCCCCCGAGTGACCCAGGTTCTTCTCTGCCTCTCCGACCTTCAAAATGTTTTCTAGTCCCTCAAGACAGACCGTGATTATCCTCGGATCAGGGCAAACCAGGAGATCACACAATGGTTTTACGCATCCTTGCTCCACCATGTATCTGAGTATTATTTACAATTGGAAACCACGATGAAATGTCATAATGGAATCAGAGGAAGTACGAAAGAGACATGGACAAGAGTTCGAGAAAAGGTACAAAAGAACAGAGACTTACTTGATTTGATCATGAGAACCACCCGAGGTGGCATTTGAAATTGCCCAAGCAGCTTCTTTCTTTATGTCGAATTCAGCGTTTTGAAGCAGATTGACCAAGGGGGCAACTAAACCAGCCTCAATTACAGCCTGTAATCGTTTATAAAAACAGACTTAAAACGAAAGAACTGACAAGTACATGACCAGATCAAGCTTTTACAAATATCTTTGCTAGTCCCCATAGGCAGATGCATCTTCTCTGCAACACTGACAGGGCTGAGACAAAATTCTACATAAAATCAACCAGTAGGACCTACCCACCTGAATCTGTTCCTTGTTTCCAGCGGTAATGTTTGATATAGTCCAGCAAGCCTCCTTCTTTATGCTTTTCTTATAGTTTTGTGTAAGGAGGTTTGCAAGGCAGGGCAGAGCACCGCTATTGATCACCCACTGAAGAAGTCCACAATAGTCAATGCTACTAAAAGGCGTAAACTAAATGAAGTGATAATATTCACAATTTCACATACATAAAAGTAATGCCCTACAGATATTTGGAACTATGAACGATAGTGTTGGAAACGTTACATTTGGATGTCAGGTATCTGCTTAGCACATTTCCATTAGACACAAGGTGATATACATGCTGTCTAAAACTATTGTTTTGATGATATGTCGCAACATGATAGGATCCAAATATTTCGTCCCCAAATGGTACATCAACAAAATTCAAGATGCTTCTGCAACCTTAGCCAGTGGTTTATTCATCTTCCATGTAATAAAGAGGATAAATCACAATCCACTTATAGATAGCAGTAGAAGGTGCTTCATGAGGTATCTGGATTCCAGAGAGCAGTTTACCTGGGTCTGTACATCATCTCCAGTAACTATATTTCCAACCGTACGAAGTGCAGGAATGAGCACAGATGGAGAGGGGTGACTACAAAGCAACAGGACATTGTCAGAGCGCATGATGACAAAAACATGTCAAACTGTAAACATGAATCTAACATAAATAAAAATATATATATACTGACAGGAGAAGTTCAACAAGTCTTGGGACGACATTAGCCTCGATTACAGCTTGAATCTTGTCATTTGTACCATCAGAAAGGTAAGAGAGTGCCCAACAAGCATCCGTCAAGACTTCTTCGTCATTCGAATGGACAAGACGTTCGAGGGCTGGAAGTGCTGGTTTCACCTGTTAATCATGCTTTAACATGTTAAAGGGCACCGGATGGATTAAAATTAAGAGATCGAGGTCAGAAGAGAAACGAAAAAACAAAAAAACCTGGTCAAACTGGGGCTGAGGCTTGCCACGGCAGAAGTTTGACAAAGTCCAGGTGGCATTTCTCAGCATAGACAACTTGGCATGCTCATTCAACTGAGCCAGCAGTGGCATCAGCGCCCCACATCTAAGAACAAGATCTCGGCACTGGGGCGAATCACCCGCAACATTTCCCAATGCCCATACAGCCTACAGATTCATAAACAACAGACACATGAAACAAGTATGTAAATCTGAGATCAGGCTCTCAAATATTAAAAACTCATCATCTCTCATATGACATGAGTCCATGACAATGTCAGACCTTCGTAACCACCGCAAGTATCATACCTGCTCACGGACATCGTCACTTGGGGAAGCAAGAAGCTGGGCGAAGATAGGAACAGCCTCGTGATCAATCACTACCTTTGTGTGCTCCGATGTTCCAGATGCAATGTTTGTTAGCGCCCAAGCCGCTTCAAACTATAAATATTCATATAACATCAGCAACCTGAAAACTACACAGAACAAACATAGAAGACAAACAGATATTCTCCCACCTGAAGCTGGGGAAAATCTTCCTTCTTAAGAAACTCAACGAACCGAGGTACAACTCCAGATTGTATCACTTCCTCAATCGGAGGACTTCTCTCTAAACGGATATAATATCAACAGCAACAAAGTTAAAAAGGACGACACTTGAACAATTGTAAAGCACAATATGAACCCAAATCAAAGAACTGAAACAAATAAACAAACATACGAACCAATAGACAGAAGCTTGCGGAACTGAGTAGTGGACTCTAACTGCAACGATGGGTCATCCGACCAAACCCCAGAAATCATAGCCGGCAAGCTCTCCAACTGCAAGTACGTAAACCCAAAATCAGAAAACAAGACAAACCCCAATTCGAGGGGAAAAAGGTAAACCCTAATCCAAAGCTGTCCAATCGAATCCCAAATGAAACCCTAAACCACCCCAATCCAACAGAGAAACACCAGAATCCGACAATACGTACGATCAGAAAACCAAGAATTACCTTCTTCTCGACGGCGGAGGCTTGAGGAGCGGCGGATGAAGGAGGGAAGTCCTGAAGAGCTTGCATACCTCCGCGGCGCTTCTTCATCAAGCTCTCCTCGCGCTTGTTCTTCCGGATCTCCACCATGTTATCCTCTCTCCTCCGGCGACCCTCATCCGCATCCACCGCAACCTTGTACCGGTTCCGGCGAACCTCCGTCCTCGCGTTCGGCCTCAACGACATGGCTCCTCGTCTCCTACCTCTCGACGACGGCGATCAAAGCGAAGCCCAATTCCGATATCAGCGTGTACACACACGCGAAACGGTGTACCGTGTACGTATAAGATCGGCGGAGAGGGAAAAAAACCCTAGAAATATAGAGATTTGGGAAGTGATGTTAGAAACGATTTAGGGAAGAGAGGGAAAGGCAACACTGACAGGGCTGAGACAAAATTAGAGGAAAAGCACAACGCAACAAAGGAGGGTAAGCAGTTCAATTTAAAGGAGCGGGGAGATTTTTTCTAAATTTTTTTATTTAATAATTAATCAAATCATTATATCGCCAATAAAATCATTATCATCGATTGCGACTTAATGGTAAAGTAGAAATGTTGTAAAAGAGGTCGAAATTCAAGGTAAATTAAATTGATCGAAATGGGTAAAAGATAAAATAAAATACGTTATATTAGATTTGTGACGTATATCATTAAATAATTTATCGTAATCAAAATGAAATCTTGAAGTTCATGAACAACTAGACAAAATAAAAATAAAACATGTATTTGATATAAAAGCACAAACCATTTCAATTTTATTTGAATTGCTTTAACGACATGTTTTTTAACTTTTTTAAATTGTAAATGCATTAGTTATTCATACGACATTATTTTTCCAAAAAATTTCAGATCTAGTTTAAAATACTGTTTCGATTAAATACATTAGTTGTTATGATTACTTGATTGATTATCTAACATGTTAAAAAGAATTATATATTCAAAAACTTTTATCTTGATAATATACATACTATTTTAAATAAATTTAATATTTATGATTTTGTTTAGTTTTGTTTCACATGTTTTAAATTCCCTTTTAAAAATTGTAGTCATTCAAATATTTTTTTATCTAAAATTTAAATCATGGTTTAATTGATTTTTATGGGATTATTTATTTTAAAAGAGTTTTCTTTACAAATTTACATTTATTTCTTTATTAAATCGTTTAATTTAAATTCAGAAAAATATAATTATTTAATTTAATAGTAATTTTATTTGTTTGTTTCATTGATTATATATGTATATACACCTAAAAATTATCACATCTAATTTTCATTTCAGGTGAGAATTTTTTTTTTTTGGGTACTTTTTATATATTCTCTATTTAGTTCAAGTGGGGATCACAAGTCATGCGTGAATAAATGAACGGCCCAACTTCAGTCAGTGGGCCGTGACTCGTGAGGCATGTTCCCTCTTGGATCCGCGTTCTGTGTTTTATTCTTTCGAAAATTACAACCTTTTCTAACTAAATCATATTTATTCTTAATATACCCAATACATTTGAAAACGATCAGAAAGCACCCAAAAAATGTACTTACAAATTACAGATTGTTCATCTATCCCGTCATAAAACAACCTCCCCCATTTACACAAAATACAGATAAGGAATGCGAAATCAGTGACGTACAAATTAATGCCACTCAAAGTTTTCTCTAATATATACATACACATATATATATATATATCCGAATTGTGAAATACAAATCTAGGGGTTTTGAACATTACACTTTTCTCGGTTATATATATGTAAACTATATATTATACCATATAGGATAATTGTTTCAAAGAAACAAGATAACTCAAAGATGATGAAATTTCAAGATCTAGAGTGTCTCTGACTATCGCAGGACCTTCCCGAGGAACGGTAACCAGTCGAAGTGAAGGAGAACGAGGAGGGGAAGCGTAAAGAACGGATGCATCGATGATTTCTCGCTGAATCCTCTCGAGGTCATGGGAGATTTTATGGGCTCGAAGAGCCGTTATGTATAATCCGGTGGATAGAAAGACGGTTAAGAGGGAAAACACTCCGGCCGCCGAGAACAAACCTTGTTTGATCACTAGACAGTCCGATTTCGGTTTAGACCAGTTCCTTAGATGTCCTGATTCAACACTTAATCCTACCAACAATATTATCTCCCCAACTCCGAAACATAACCTAACCATTACGCAATAAAGAATGTCACCAACATTATATAATATGAAATTTTGATATATTATTGGTGACACTTTTAATTTGTTCCATTATTTTATAATTAACATTACCACAAGATTTGTGTGTGTATATATATATGTATATAATTATTTGTATTTGGTAAAGTGACGTTACGTACCAAGTCGAGACAAAGAAGAAGCCCGCTTGAAAATTGAGTTTCTTCGCGGGAATCGAATCGGGGTCCCATGCAAACAGAACCTGCGGTGGCGATTTGGTGACCGCGATTACCAAGTACAGGTGAAACATCACAACCGCAAACGCTAGTCCGACAAACGCAGACGCGCCGCACAATAACGGCGTTTTCCCGTCCCCACTGTACACGCACGTCTTGCTCTCCCATGTCGCCTGCAAGCCAAATACTTGCACACACAGATGAGACCCATAATTGCGATTGTATGATGACATTTATATGCCATTTTATGTATGAAAAGCATGCTCGAAAACGCATATAGAGAGACTTTTTGCTCGAATTATGAACCATTAATATTTTGGACCGTTTTTTTTATGTGTAATAATGAAATAAGGGATGCAATCTATTCTACAAGGAAATTACATATACGAATTGTAAAGAAGATTTAAAACCGGCAATGCGAATTACCTGAGACCGAGTAGCTTCGGCCACGAGGCAGAGGACGAAACAACAAAAGCCGAAGACAACGGTTAAAACGACTACGAAAACACCGGTTTTGCTGCGAAGATCGGTGGTTTTAGGGTTCGGGGAAAGATCCCGATGTGTCACGGCTCGTGTTCTTGTTCTTGACATGTCTGCTAATGTCTTTCCAGGTTCTGAAGAAGATTATAGTTATGGGAGGAGACAAAGAAGACGACTTGGGAAAAGAATATATCATTTTGAAGGTTTTAAAGTTGAGTTATTTTTATATGGGGATCGAAAGTGGGAGAAAATAAAAGAGGTGGGGAGAGAAAAGGGAAGAATAGTAGAGTTGCTTCGACCAAAGGTTGCTTAAAGGCCAAAGATTCCAATGTTCTTTTGTTTTTTTTTAGATTACAAAAAATAAAGTCCATTTTCGTTGGATGGTTGGGAGTTGATTTAATTTATGACGTGTAAAATATTTTTGTTTTGATGAGGGTCGGTTTATATAGTTGATTCGAAGATTCCTTTCATACATATATAATGGATACATTATAAACATTTTTATCACATTTTAAGATACTTTTTTTGTACATTGAACTAGAAAAGCGTTACAAAAAAAAAATCAATCATGATACGGTAAAATATCTTTAAAATTTATGAATTTATACAAATTTCCAATAAATACATGATTTTTTAATATAAATACACACAATTATTTTAAAAAATTTTACATAAAGACATGAAATTTAAAAATATAATCATTTTTATTATGATATGAATATTTCAAAATTATATATTTTTTAATATCATATAAACATACAATTCTTTTAGTTTTTATATAAATTGATTAATTTCAAAATACCATCGTATCTCCACCATATCACCACCGTATATGAAATGAGACGTCCATGGCATTTTAGGACATGTATGAAAGAATAATCTCTTTCGGGGTTAAGGATAGTGTTGGATTTATATTCCCGTCCATCAGAATATATTCTAATTTATAACCAACATAATGCGTGTACAATGTACATATCATGTATGTAAGTGTGTATGTAGATGCTAATTTAGAAGAATAATTTATAAAGATTATGATATGGACAACCTAAACCACCAAACCCCTCTTTCATGGTTTTCTTACAATCAGATTGTGTCTAAATAACAATCTCAATTCACCCCATTGATCCGTTGTCCAAACTGTGAGGAAGAAAACGACAAAACAAACAAAAAAATCCAAAAAAAAAAAAAGAAGAAGAAAAGAAAATCCGGCAAGATTTACTTTTGGAGATGGGAGTTGACTTACTGTTGTTGGATCCTCCTGTGTCCACTGGTAAGGAGATGGATGCTTCACAAAATTGTCAAACTCTCTCTCTCTCTCTGCATTTGATAGGCATACACATTCACCTGTGATCAAGAACTGCAAAAAAAATCTTCAAATGAACAACCTTTTCTACTTCTGAAAAGATTTAAATTTAAAAAAAAATATTATTCCCGGGAAAGGATTCTAACCCATCACCACATACAAAAGCTTCCATCCACCATATCCCAACTTGATTTATATATATATCGACATTTACATACATATATATATGTGTGCCATTCATGTGTTTGTGTGACTTACAGAAAGCACGCCTTTGTCAGGAACACCCTTTTGATCTGCTACATTCCCTTTGTTACCAAGTTGGATTCTATGGCTGCAGAAGCCATGGGGGATACAGATCTTGATGCAGGATCAACACACAGACAAGAAACGGCGGCTGTGGCTCCGGCTCAGATGGACAATTACAAAGAAGATTCGCCCAGCATGGCCAAAGCAGTTGTACAGAGGCTCTTGTTTGGGTCTCACCATCGTCGGCTCAGAGGGAGAAAAGGCTCGAAGAACATTAGGGCTAGATCTCCGAGCAGGCTAAGCAAAGTGTCTTCAGCTGAAGATTCTGAAGACCCATGGTAGATATAGAGAGGTTCTCGTCTCGTGATCTGTAGAAACGCCTTTCCATTCCATGTACTCGAACAGCTCCAGGTTTGACGATTTCATTCCATTTCCCCGTACTTCTTTTTTCGTGGGTCGTGAATCCTAGAAGCCGTGATATATCAAGAAACAGTTGTTTCGCCATGCCAGCAGACGATTCAACTAGCTTACAAGCAATCATCTTTTGCTAATAATCCCCATTCAAACACGATTATAAGTAAACCCACAATCTATATTTCGGAAAAAGTCCCATCTTGCACTAAAATCAAGCCCAACTCTCTGAAAGGTGAAGAACACCCAAAAGAAAACCCAACAGAACCCGTTAAATCTGACCTTAAGAAATTCCGAAGACCAAAGAAAAGCTGAATTCAGACGGGACTGAGACAGAGTAAGCTAAACTCGAAGATCCCTGCTATGGAATCGAATGCCAAACACCAAACTTGAAGTTGAAGAATCGATCGGAGAGACGATGAAAATGGCGGAAAGAATTTTCACTTTTTTGGTCGGCGAGGGGAGCAACGCGCATCCACGGCAACGGGAGCACGATCAGATTTCATATCAGAGACTCGCTATCATGCATCGCTTGAATGGTGCAGTACGCAAAAGATCTGGGCCATGAAGCCCAATGTAATAGACCTGATGAGCCTTTCTACTTGAAACGCCGTCGTTTGTTATATCTCTATAAACGTCACGAAGTTTTGTCTTCCATCCTCAAAACGCTCCGTTGTTGCACTGATAGACGTACCGTACAATATACGTGAATACCGGAAAAGCATAGATCTATCGCCACGTGGAGGTCAATCTGATTGAACGGTCAAGATGTCGCGTGTCATGTTAAACGGTGCACCGTCAGTGAGATTATCAAAACCCAGCATTTTCACCCGTTTAGAAATTTGAAAATCTCCACTAAAAAGAGACGTTACGGCTATTTATTTTTTCCTACAAATTATAAATAAAAAAATCTTTTTTAAAAATAAAATTGTTTTATAAGAGAGAACTTTTTTTTCCTTGTCTCCCCATTTATAGCTCTGAACTACGCTCCAGTCTCAGCCCCCGCAACTCTCTGTACAGCTCTCTACCGCAGACGAGACGACGAAGATAGGGGACGCATTTCGTCGATCTCTTGCGTTGATTTGAACTTCTCCGACTCAAGATCGACCTCGCCACCGACACCGATCTTGCGGGGCATGATAGACAGACCTATATACAAAGAGCCAAATCTGCTCCAAATGATCTGAATGTTATTCAAATTGATTCTCCATTTATTTTGTTCCATAATTGTAGCAATTGCAAAACTGTATATATGAACATACTCATGAATAACGACAACAAGACATATTTTCCAATTCTCTGTTTACCTTATATATATGATACATAATATCAATAATTGTTTTTTTACTGCCATTAACTAAAAAAATAAATATAAAACTGTTATATATAAGCAAAACAAAGCTATGGATATACAAACCGTGCGTATACTATAGGTTGATACGTTTAGATTCAAATACGATCTGAAAACATCAATTATTAGGTGAGCTAAAAGACAATGGATTAGAGAAGCCAAGCAGGTCCTATGATCATCAAGGCTGTCCCCAGCAGTGAAGCAGATCTTGTCTTCATCCCGCTTCCATATTCTCCATCTTCTATGTGCTCCAAAACATTGAAATCGCCTGCATAAAACGTACCCGGTTTAGGTTGTTGCTTCTAATCGAACCGTCCAAACCGATACCAAGAAAACCGGTCAATGATTCTCAGGTTATCTAGTATAAGGAAACAGAAATTAAATGGGGTTTAATAGTGAAAATCTATGGTATTTGAATCAGAACCGGACCAAACTTGACCTGGTAAGAACGAATAACTCTTACACCGATTTGGATTTGGAACCAAACCAAAAACATCTAAACCGTAATTGACCTATGATTAATTTGTTACTACAGTTTTTCCGTATCCTTGACAAAGAAACCGTGATTTCATGTTGAACTAAAAAGTTGAGATATTTCTTTTTCCTAGAACCGAAATGATAAACCGGTCTAAACCCGGCGATTCAATCGTGTACCTCGTTCGGGTCCGAAGCTGCAGCCTGCTTTCAAAGTATTTCGAATGTCACGGGTCGTGGCTTTGTTGAAGAATCTGAAGTTGTGGAGAATATTCTCTATGCAATTGAGAGCCAGATGTGTTTCTTCGAGGCATGGTCCGCCGCAGAAGTTGTCGGTGTACGTCCGAGGAATGTTGAGTTCTCCGATCGCCGTTAGCCTCCACTTTTCTTCACATCTACTGTAGATCTGCACCATTACATATATATATATATGTGTGTGTATGTATATATTTACGAAGTTATGAGAAAAAAAAAAACAAATAAAAAAATAAGAATGGCGTTGGAGGAGCGTCTTGAAAACTAGGACGTCACAGTAAGAATTAAACTAAATAAGAGGGACCAGTATGCAAATATATAAGAAAATCGTAGAGGTTAAAGTGACACCGTCGAACAATTTGAGGCCTAAATTGTAATTAAAGGTGTAGAGTGGCTTTCCTTTTCATAGACTCATAGTTTCTTGTATGGCAAGAAAGATAAGGGTTTTTTTATTTGTTAGGTGATTAAGAGAGAGAAAGCTAGGGCAAGAGGGAGAGAGAGAGAGGGGGGATTATCCAAAATACCCCAAATGTGCTAAAACTACTTCTAGGTCTACCCTCCACTTTTTTTAAAAAAATTCCAACTTCTAAAATACCCTTCTAAATGCATATTTCCCATTTTACCCTTTAATATTTTAATTAATATAATTTTTTTTATCATTTTCTCTTTCCTCACCGATTTCTCTCTCTTCATTAATGTTTTTTATTTATTATTTTTCATATTTTCTCTCTCCTCATTTATTTTATTTTATTTTTATTTTTTTCTGATTCTCTCTATTCTCGACACGTGTAATATTGTGACCATGTGACCTTGTGACCTTGTGACCATATAACCATGTGACCCATATGATCTTATGATCCATATCACCTCATGATCGGTATGCTCATGCGAACTATGTCTTTGTAATCCGAGACATATAGTACCAAATATCATAAATAATTAGACGTATCATATATGCGATATAATCACCGTTAATCTCTATCTTCAATAATGTCTTTGAATTTTAATATCATCAAATATGATTTTATTGTAATTTTATACTATGTGACCATTGTTGTCAATTATGACCTATGACTCAATCACCAAAGAAATATAAGTATAAATATGGTTTTTAAGTATAAATATGGTTTATACATTGTTATATAGTAAATATAACGTGTTTATAAAAAAATTTATGATATTATAAGTGATTTATACTAATAAAATAAGACCAAATTTATCTATATACGACTCGTATTACGCATTGTGACCCACGTGTGACCAATGTGACACAAGTGAAAATTTTAATTATGTGACATTATGATCGGATATTCCCGTGACCAAGTGACAAAGATAAATATAGGTCAAAACTTATTTTTTAAGTTTTGTTATAGTTTAGGAGAGAACATCAAAATCGACAATGACTAATTTAGAGTCAAGAAAGAAGCACCACAAATTTGTATAATAATTGTGTGGTGTATTTGTATTATAATGTATTACAAAACATTTGTACAATAATGTCAAAGAGTTTTGATTAATGATGTTGTAATATATTTGTACAATATAGTATTATAACTTTTATATAATATTGTGTTTGTACCATAATAATATTGTATTATTGAAGATGAATTTTCACATATATTTGACTCTATTACACACTAAATAAATGAACTCACATAAGCCAACGTTGTGACCCATTGTGACCGGCATGTGACCATGTGACCGAAGTGCAATTTTACACTGTGTGACCATTGTGACCGATTGTGACCCGTGACCGAAATGTGTTGATAAATATAGGTCAAATTTTAATTTTTAAACTTCGTGGTGGTTTATGATAGTCTATATATCAAATATATAACGTATGAGAAAATTTTCAAAATAATTTAAGGGGTTTATAGATGAAATATACCAATTTTATCAAAAGTACTCATAAAACATTATGAAACATATAGAAATACATTTGGAAGAATAACATTGAAACACAAAAATCGTAAAAACCATATTTTAGTTTTTGAAATAATATAGAATAGACTTATGAGGGATATGTAACATTATAGAGTGATTAAATTAACAAAAATCGCATGAATCGAAGGTTGTGACCGGTTGTGACCGACTGTGACCCATTGTGACCGAAATATGTTGTGGGGTCCACACGGAGAACTAGTCAGAATTTCACCAGCTTTTCATGTTTCGTGGGGCCCACAATCATTATTTATATTTTGCTTTTAATGTGGGGCCCAATTTGAATATTCAACTCTATATAATTTCTCTTTTAACCCTATATTTTTTTCCTCTCAATTTTTAACCTCAAATTTTCACCTACAACATTTTCAAACCAAAATGTTGTGTATGAGGAAATTACAAAACATTGTGAGATGTTTATTAAACAAAGACACCAAATTTGTTCAAAATACTCATAAAACACTATAAAACATAATGGAAAGCATTTATAATGATTACTTTGAAACAAAAAAATCGCATAAATAATATTTTAATGTTAAAAATAGTACAAAAGTAGACATATGATAAATAAATTAAAAGTTTACGCTTTCGTCTTCGAAAATCTTTGTTGTTATGTCTCCTAATTCTAGTCATGCGTTGATCATCTCTATGAACATGGTATCACACGCAAAGTAGTTGCATCCTATATAGATCATGTGATACTTTATAATGCGAGTATGAAGTTCATACATCGTCTCTTTCATGTGCTACAAAATAAAATAACATATGTCAGGAATATTAACCAGATATCATCATGTGACACTATGATCGTGTAACTATAACACTATGTGATGTGATCATATAATCGTGTGACCATGTGATCATGTGACCGTGTGACTGTGTGACTATGTCATCCATACATTCAAACATCGACCCATATGATATTGTGACATATATGACTATTCTAAATGATCTTGTGACCGAAACTTATCTATTCCACTCAATTTTAATCATAAACCCTCAAACCCAATATTCTATTTCGAAATCCCAAAATTTTAAAAAAATTTAAAATCTTAATGCTTTATCGGTCAAATCTCAAAATCACATTTCAACTCAATAGCAAGAAATCTCACTGTGTGATCTTATAACCTTATACCCTTGTGACCTGTGACCTTGTGACCTATGTGATCTTGTGACCGTGTGATCTTGTGACCATGTGATCTTGTGACCACGTGACCTTATAAATTATTCGATTTACTATTGTATTCATATAATTTTTACTTATAAGGAAGTACCAAATAAATGTGAACATTTCAAATTTTAATCATGTATTTATTTTATTTAGTTTAACAACTGTCCAACAAAGTCGGTTCAGAAGACTCCATATGAGATATGGACTGGGAAGCGTCCCAGGTTAGCATTTATGAAGATTTGGGGATGCGCCGTTTACGTGAAACGTCTGGCTTCTGATAAGCTATCCGCCAAGTCTGATAAATGCATATTTGTGGGTTACCCTAAAAGAAAGGAAAAATATTAATAAAATATTATATTAAATGAAGGATAATTGAGTCTTTATATTTTTATTTGGGGTTATATTTGTCTTTTGTAGTGTGAACACAATTTTTTTTTTTAATTTTTTTTTTGGAGGGTAGGAGTAGAAGTGGTTGTAGGGAAGGAGAGTTATTTTAGATATATTGCCGAGAGAGAGTGTGTGCTTACGTGTTTCTCACTGAGACATAATAAAGCTTTGTCAACAATCTCTGGTGGATCGTCCCCACCGATGCCGCCGCCGCCGCCAAATCCGGTTCCACCACCGATCCCTCCGCCTCCAAAACCTGTCCCTCCACCGCTTGCTCCGCCGCCAAATCCGGTCCCACCCCCTACCCCTCCGCCGCCAAAACCTGTCCCCCTACTGCCCGATCCACCGCCGAATCCCGTCCCTCCACCTCCGACGCCGGCGCCTGCAGCTCCACCCCCTAATCCCCCGCCGGCCTCGGGGTCGTCCTCTTCACTGTATGCAGTCCCTGTTATATATTATCTGTTGTTAAGGTTTTTTTTTTTTTTCACATTAAAATTCTTACCGTTAAGCAAAAACAGAGTTTGGAGCAAGCCATTGCATTACATGCATTTTTCTTAACTTAAAAGTATTTCACAAACCCACTAGCATACCACAAAAGCGTGAATTTGAACTCACTACATTTGGGAAGGTTTCTGTCATAAACATATATATATATATGGGTTTTGCAAGTGTTCGATCGAATACATGTGTTACCCAAAAATATATCTACGAATATGTATAGAAATACCCAGTGTCCGACACCAATATTACATGCACTTACGTACCCGTGTATGGATATATACACGTATTATGCAAAAAAAATATATCTACATATGGGGGTGTGTATGCATTTGACTGATACCTGTTGGAGGGCAATTGGATTATGATTCACCCGGTAACTTAGGCGAGAAGGCACACTTGGAAGAAACACATTCTCGGCAAGAAAATAAATCACCGACACCATCAGCTCACAAATCAGGAAATCCTCAAACGTAATTGCTATGTTTCCATTTACCAAGCCTCACATATTTCCTTGCCATGTATAGAATTGTATAGCCGTTTTACTTTTTCTGTTTATATATTCTGCACAAAAATATGTAATAAAATATACAAGAGAGCATGTTCTTTTCGCAAACTCTTCGTCAACCCTAAACTACTCTTCGATCTGTTCATCTCTTGTTGTGTTTTTGACAAATTCCAAACATCAAAATCATATAAATCTATATGGTATCAGAGCATCAAGGTCCTTGACCCCTCTGATTTATCTATTTTACCTTTTGTTCTTCACCAAATCGCACCCTTGTTCTCTCTCTTTCTCTCCATGGATTCCCAAAACAGATTGATTCCAATCACCTTGACCGGTGATAATTTCTTCTATTGGAAGAAGGCAGCAACAGCAGCCCTAAACAGCAAAGGTTTATGGGACCATGTCTCGATTGAAAAACGGGTTTCTTCCCCGCAAGAGTCGGCCCTTGAAGAAGAAACTCCGGTGCAACTTCAACAGAGGCTCCAACGCAATAAACAGCTTGAGTTGGACTTCAACAAGTGGAAACAAGATGATAGTCAAGCATTGGTGATTTTACAAGGTTCTTTGGACCCGCACCTGCTGCAGTCTTTCATATCCCATGATACCACCAAGTCTTTATGGGATGCTCTCGGCAATGTCTACGGTAACATCTCCAATGTAAGCCGTATTTTTGAGTTAAAAAGACGTTTGTCTCATCTTCAGCAGAATGACCAGCCCTTTAACAAGATCCAAGGAGAGTTTTGTGCTTTATGGGCGGAGTTGGAGGAAATACGACCCACTTCAACTGATCCGAAGATGATAATGGACAGAGCCGATGAGGACAAAGTGTTCTCCATTCTCTCGACCCTTAACCCTTCGTATAATGATCTTATATATCATGTTTTGCGTCAAACGAAGCTACCGTCGTTTGATGAACTGTGTATGATGATAAAAAGGGAAGAGGGTGGCCGGAACTACTTCACTGGCCCCTTGGAACTCGCTCACTACGCCCATCGGTCAACACCACAATCGGTCCCTCCAAAAGAACGTAAGTCATTCTACTGTGATCATTGTAAAAGACAGGGGCATACTCGAGATCGTTGCTGGCTGGTGAACCCACATCTCAAGCCCTCTCGATACAAGGAGGCATCTCGACGCGGCTCGGCAATGACAGCTGTTCATGAGCAAACCACTTCGGAGAGTGCTATCAATCTTACATCTGACGAGTTGAAGGGCCTTAAGCATCTCCTTCAGTCTCTCAACAAAGACACCGGTAACTTTTCTCACCACTCTTCCATTATTATCGATTCGGGAGCAACAACACACATGTTTTGTGATCCCACTTGGTTTGAACATATATATCCAAGCAATGGAGTGGTATCGGTGGCTAATGGTAAGAATGTCCCTATTCGGGGATATGGTAAGCTACGACTATTTCATCGGGATATTACCGGACTTTTTATTCCCGATTTCCATGCCAATCTCCTTTCAATACCGAAACTTGTTGACGAAACACATTGTCATGTTATCTTTGATACTAACGGAGTTTCGTTTCAGGATACTAGCTCGGATCGAGTCTTTGGCAAAGGCACTCGGAAGGGCTCTCTTTACTATCTAGATGATTTCCATTCAAGTTTTTTATCTATTTCGTCTAGTGTGTGGCACGCCCGTTTGGGTCATCCACATGCTAAAGTTTTCCGTTTATTAGTTCCACAAGTTAAGACATTTGATTCTCCTTGTGAGGCTTGTACGTTGGGCAAACATTGTCGGACAGTTTTCCCGGATTCCTCTACTATCTATGATAATGTTTTTGATTTGGTTCACTCGGATGTATGGACCGCACCTTGTTATTCGCGTGATAACTACAAATATTTCGTGACATTTATTGACGAGAAATCCAAGTATACTTGGATCACCCCTTTAAAACATAAGAGTGATGTTTTCTGTGCTACTAAACATTTTATTGCATATGTGACTAACCAATTCAATGTCAAGGTCAAGTGTTTACGAACGGATAACGGAGGGGAATACATGAGCTTCCGCTTTCGAGACTTTCTTCTACATGAAGGTATAATTCATCAACGTTCTTGTCCAAACACGCCTCAACAAAATGGCGTAGCCGAGAGAAAGAACCGCCACTTAATGGAGGTCGCAAGAACATTACTCTTCCATCGACATGTACCAAAGCGATTTTGGTGTGATGCGGTGAAAGTTGCATGCTATCTCATTAATCGTCTCCCCACGCAAGTTCTAGGCGATAAATCTCCATTTGAGGTAATTTATAATCGCCGGGATTCTCTTGACCATCTTCGTGTATTTGGTAGTGTTTGTTTTTCTCACATTGATGAAGGGCAAAGGACTAAGCTTGACCCGAGGAGTGTTCGGTGCGTATTTCTCGGTTATCCGGCAAACCAAAAAGGCTATGTTTGCTATCATCCACCCAGTAGTCGAACCTTCACATCCCGCAATGTCCGGTTCATTGAGGAGATTGGTTATTTCGAAGACAAAGTCTGGTCTGATTTGGAGTTACTTGCGCAACAAGGCACCGACTCTCCTAGCGACTCGATCACTCACTTGCATACCACTCTACGTCGTTTGGGTGTCCAAACTTCCAGCTTGCCATCATCCGCCACTTTGGAGGAGTCTCCTAACCTACACGCTGACGGTATTCCCTTATCTTCCACTGCTCCTTTGTCTATTCTTTCTCCACTTACCCATGCAGGTACCTCAGCTGAAGCGGCGTTGTCTCCTGCGACTAGTGCTTCGTCTGAGGGGGAAATTCCCTCTCCAACAGTTGCCACGACCTTGCAGGAACCCTCGGAGTTAGCACCATCATCTCGTCTGGAGCACCACACGATTGATGTTGTGTCGGATTTGGAGGCGCAACGTGCGGACCATCCCATTCCACGTCTGCATGCTTCCTCGGATGTCCCACCGAACGTCTGCATGCCTGATCCAACAACATGTCTTCCTCAGATTCGACGGAGCAATCGCGACCGACGTCCTACTTGGAAACTTAAGGAGCAGTTTCATGGCTCAAACAATGTGGTTGCACATCCCATCGATAAGTATTCTAGTCTTGATATTTTCCCAGCTAATGAACGAACCTTCTTGAGTATTATAGAACAGGGTGTCGAACCAACCTCATACACACAAGCCAAGACCGAAGATGTATGGCGTCGTGCTATGGAGGATGAAATTTCGGCCCTTGAAAAGAATGGAACATGGGACATCACACAATTACCACCGGGAAAGCAACTTGTGGGTTGTAAATGGGTATATAAAATTAAGTACCTTAGCAATGGCTTGATCGATCGTTATAAAGCTCGTCTCGTCGCCAAAGGGTATACTCAAACCTACGGGGAAGACTACACCGAAACATTTGCCCCGGTTGCAAAACTCTCTACGGTACGTGTTCTAATCTCTTTAGCTGTAAATCTTCAATGGCAACTATGGCAGATGGATGTCAAGAACGCCTTTCTCCAAGGTGATCTTGATGAGGAGATCTTCATGAAGCCGCCCCCTGGTTATACTCGGACAAAACCGGGTGAAGTTTGCCGTCTTCGTAAATCCATTTACGGTTTGAAACAATCTCCTCGGGCATGGTACTATAAACTTTATCAAGCTTTGATCGATCGAGGATTTACGCGAAGTGACTCCGATCACTCCCTCTTCACAATGCATGGTAACTCGGGTATCATTATTCTCTTAGTATATGTCGACGATATTATTCTCTCCGGTAATGATGTTGACGGACTTAAAGACACAAAACAATATTTACAAAACGTGTTTGATATTACCGATTTAGGTTTACTTAAGTATTTTCTTGGTATTGAAGTAACTCGAACTACTAACGGCTTATTTTTGTCCCAAAGAAAATATATTCTTGATTTGTTGCGAGATACAGGTAAACTCGGAGCTAAACCGGTGCGCACGCCAATTGAGGAGCATTTCAAAGACAAAAGAGAGGGGGAACCATACGCCGATCCTGAACAATATCGGCGTGTCGTCGGTAAGCTAATTTATCTTACTATCACACGCCCTGATATTAGTTTTTCCGTGCATCAGGTGAGTCAATGGATGCATGCCCCGCAAATGGAACACTGGAATATGGTGGATCGCATTTTGAAGTATCTCAAAGGCACCCCGAACAAAGGCATGCGGATGGAAAACAATCGGCATACTCGGATCGTCGCATATTGTGACGCGGATTGGGCCGGCGACAGAATGGATCGGAAATCAACAACGGGCTTTTGTACTTTCATCGGGGGCAATCTTGTTACGTGGCGAAGCAAGAAACAAACCGTGGTCGCACGTTCCAGTGCGGAGGCCGAATATCGTGCGATGGCAAATACCACAAGTGAGGTCGTGTGGTTGCGCCAACTCCTCCGTGACCTCGGAATCGAGACAAATGAACCAACTCCTCTGCATTGTGACAACCAAGCGGCGTTACATATTGCAGCAAACTCCGTCTTCCATGAGCGCACCAAACATATCGAAGTGGACTGCCATTTTATTCGCGAGAAGATCACACTCGGAGTCATCTCACCAATGTATACCAGAAGCCAAGATCAACTAGCCGATGTCTTGACCAAGGCAACGAGCTCTTACGTTCTTAACCATTGCCTCTCCAAGATTGGTCTTGTCGAATTCGACATGCCAATCTTGAGGGGGAATGTTGGAGGGCAATTGGATTATGATTCACCCGGTAACTTAGGCGAGAAGGCACACTTGGAAGAAACACATTCTCGGCAAGAAAATAAATCACCGACACCATCAGCTCACAAATCAGGAAATCCTCAAACGTAATTGCTATGTTTCCATTTACCAAGCCTCACATATTTCCTTGCCATGTATAGAATTGTATAGCCGTTTTACTTTTTCTGTTTATATATTCTGCACAAAAATATGTAATAAAATATACAAGAGAGCATGTTCTTTTCGCAAACTCTTCGTCAACCCTAAACTACTCTTCGATCTGTTCATCTCTTGTTGTGTTTTTGACAAATTCCAAACATCAAAATCATATAAATCTATAATACCTACATGGAGAAGAAACCAAAAGGGAGAAGCAAAGGAGAACGGCGGCCGAAACCCTAAGCTCCCTGGAGAATGAGCACGCCATTGTGGAAGCCCTAGTACCCCCTCACAATAAACCTTGATAGTTTTGATTTATAAAATGTTTTTTCTGTATATAACATATATATGCTTATATATGAAAAAACAGCAAGGGATACCATCAAAAGAAGCTTCTGTATAAATTCAAATCTCTCGTAGTGCAAGTAAATGCATTAGCTTTCTTCTCGTTCATGAGAAGAAGTTGCAGACGAGAAACTAAGGAGAGAGAGCGGTTGAGTGCAAGCCACCAACCCTTTCTGTATTTTAGTATTTTAAATTATTCCGTGACTGTGAACATATATATATATATGGAGACTAATAAACCCTTTTTTTGTTTACTGTCGTGAAATTAAACAAAAATAAAAATAAAATCAAACCTAAAAGCGATCATCTCTCGCTCTACGAAAGTTACTACTTTAATAGAGAATAAAAAAAACCCTATAAATTGTTTTTTACAATCGTGGTAAATTTTATCTAAAAATCTTCTCGAAAAATTTCAAGATTTTCAATCGTGGTAAATATTCAATAGAATTACCAGAATTATAAGATATTGGCCGTAAATCACTGTGTATAATGAAAGCAAATACGATTCATTATTCTTTTTCATATTCTCACAGTATCAAATATTACAAGAGCTCCTCCGTTTTTGGAGCCACGAATTACAATATCATAGTAATATATGAAACAATCTACAAGCCACCCTTTGGTACTTGTACATTTATATATGAAATCAAACCTTAATTTTTGTTAAAAATCCCATAAAGACGAACCTAATCCTCATTTTCCATATATGAGAAGGGAACCCTCCACTCTGTTAAGAGGTTTCCCTAATATATTACCTTGTGACTTTTTTTTTATAAACATTTTAATTTAATTCCCTCCAATGCTTGGTTTGACCAAAATAGAATGTTTGATGTCACCAATGTGCAATTTATGCTCACCGAACGGAATCCTTCTCTTCCCGTACTCGTCCACGACACCAAGATGCTTGCAAGCATGAACATCAACCCGAATTACCCGTTTTGCCCCTGCCGAGACGTGAACCTTTTCGAACCCAACAAGCTGTTTGATCAAACCCGACCCTTTGGAATTCTCCGGAGGTTCGGCAAATACGAACATGGTATGAGTCCCGTCGAATTCCCCGGTGTTAGCCACCTCGACGTGAAAGGGCAAAATGGTCATTTTACCGCAGTCGGCGTGAGACGCTTTGATGGAGTGGGAAGAAGAGTTGAGAGTGGCAGAATTGAGAATATAGGTGGAAATGAGGGGTACTGAGAATTGTGTTTGTGGGTTTTGGGCGAAGGAGTGAGTGAAAGTTGTGTAACTTAGCCCGAAACCAAACGGGTACACAACTGGGCCTTTGTAAAACCTATAAGTCCTTCCGGGGTAATTTAGTGATGGCCTCAGGGCCATATTCGTCATTGGCACTTTTGCCACGAAATTTTGTGGATACCACGTCATCGGTAGCTTTCCTCCTATTTAAAAAAAAAGTAATTAGCAGATTTTTTTGGTGAAAATATAATATCAAGATTATTGGTAACTTGCAATAAATTAATTGCTTAATAAGGACGAAATTTATGTATTTGTATATTAAAAAAATAATTGAAAACTCAAATTACCTTTCCACCAAATTTAAAATTTTGAAGAAAAAAAAATCACCTGGATTTGCCGTGCCAAAGATGACGTCAGCAATGGCGGCTCCACCTGCTTGACCCGGATACCCGGCCCAAATAATAGCCCCGACACGTGGATCATTCTTAGCGAAGGAGATGTCAATGGGCCCACCACTCATTAAGACCAAAATAGTTGGGCCTCGTGAGGCCCGAGCCACGCGAGAGATGAGCTCTTGTTGGTGGCCTGGCAAGAGAAGACCGGTCCGGTCCACTGTCTCAGCCTCTATGGACTGGTCGAGTCCCATCACTAGCACCGTCGCGTCGGCCTGACGCGCCGCCGCCTCCGCGGCTCCGATTTGGCCGGCGTCGGTGCACGCCACGCCGGAGCAACCTGCTTGGTGAATTGTTCTTGCGTATCTCGAAATGCCTTGTAGTGGTGAGGTGTAAGCACACGCCTTTCCTGTAAAAAATATTATCCCCATAAATAAATTTAAAAATGCAAATTTTTGGTAAACAATTTTAAATAGGAATGAAATGGGATATCCGTGAACCAGTGGTTTAATATATGCCGGTTAATGATTCGAATTTCATTTAAAATCGGATTGATATATTAATCATTTAAAAAACTCTCTCTATTTTTCGAAACCGGATTTAAACGCGGAAATGTTTCCATATCTATCTCACTGACTATTCCCGATTTTAATTTTTTTTACTAAATTTAAAAAACGGGATATTACCTGCATAGTTTCCGATCATGGTAACCGTAACATCGGAGTTGGGTCCGATAACGGCGACGGTGCGGTGGCGAGTGCGGGACAACGGAAGCGAGCGGCCGGAGTTTTTAAGGAGAACGATGCCCTGGTGGGCGGCCTCGAGGGCTAGGTTCTGGTGGGCCGTGGTGCAGACATCTCTAGGACCAAGGTTAGCGTACGGTCCATTATTACCGTCGAACATTCCAAGCCTCATTTGGACGGTCATTGTGTTGGCCAACGCTAAATCCACATCGTTCACCGTTAACAGTCCCCTTTTCACCGCTCCTTCCGTGAATATCGCCAAAAACGGTCCACAGTCTAAATCAAGACCTGCAAATATTAATAATTTCATGTATTATGTATAACCCAATGAGATTTGAATTATAGCATTCTTGTTTTTAGGAATGAATGACACATAATTCTATCCCAAATGACTAAAATCGAAAATTAAAAACCAATAATTAGAAATTTATTTGGAAAATTAATATTTTTTGTAAAAAAATGAACTGTTATATAAATTGGATCGAATTGAATGGAACCCAATATAAAAAAATGAATATGTATAGTTTTTTTAAAACCAAACATAACCAACGAAATCGGAAAATAAGCATCTATATGTTTATTTTTATTAGAGAATTTTAAAAATAGAATGGATGGAATTAAAATGGTACCGGCTTTGATGGAGGCGGCGGCGGCTTCCTCCGGGGTAGAAGTATAGTGTTGTTTATTGAAGAAAACGTCGACGGAATCGCAATCCGAGACAATGTACCTTAATTTTTATATTTTTTACATTTTTGGGGAAATATGGTTAAGAAATATATCAAAATAATAATAATATTAATACAAAAAAAAAGGGGTGGATTTGGTTACCCGTTGAGACGCCATTGGCCACGGATGGTGTTCTTGAGGAGGTCTTGGTCGGCACAAGTGGGTTTTCCGTTGACTTGATTGTACGAACACATTACACTCGCGACTCTGCCCTCCGCCACGCACGCCTTGAATGGCACGTTGTACGTATCCTCTAGGTCTTGTTTTGTTACCTTCACTCACAAAAAAAAAAAAATATGAAAAAGTATTTTTTTTGTTTATTTATTTATTAGATTATTGTTAAAATAGAATTTCGAATGCATATGCAGAAAACAAAAACATGTTTGAATAGATTTGAGTTCTATAAAAATTCGGCTTTCATTAAAAATAATAATTTATTTCATAAAACAAAATCGTCTCGTTTGATTCAATTAATCTTTCATGTATAAATTTGATTCCGGATAAAATCATATATAATTAATCGCTAAGTTTGACCTTATTCTATACATTGAAGCCAAATGAGTTGGTAAAATATCAGTGTAATTTATTTTTCTAGTAATTTATATATTTCACTCCCATTATTAGGGAGATACAAGATGTTATTACACAATTGCGGGTAATTTTGGGATAACAACATAAAAAGCAAAGAGGGTCGGTCCACTTGCCAAATGAGGATAAGATTCCCTACGGCTACTACTATCACCATGTACTACTATGCATGTGACATTACAACTAAGACACTTTCGATATTTGGCTTATCTTGTTCACATACATATATATATATATATATTATACATACATATACTGATATATAGTCCCATCATTATGAAACATCATATATATAATATATATATAATATATGTATATATCCAACAACTCAAATCAGTCGAATGAAAAGTCTTGTAAGACTTATGTGGCCCGTAGTTCTATATTAATGACTAAGAAGTTATTTACCCAAAAAAAATTGACTAATAAGAAAATTATATAATTCTCTAGAAATAAGATGGTGAGACGTGTAAGAAATAAACTTTGTCACATCCAATTTGTTATATAGACTTTAAATAAGAAAACGACATATACCGCTGCTGGCAAACCTTCTAATATTCTATTATGACATGAAAATCAAATATTTTATTTCCACGAAAATAAAATATATTAATTGTCTTAAATCTAATAATAGGCTATTTTATATGATCTCAATATTTTTACCCTAAAGAGTATTGGATCCTAACCCCTAATACTCTCCAAGACACTAAGTTTAGGTTACATGTCTACGTTGAATTTAAATTAGATTCTACTATATGAGGAAAAAAAAAAACAACTGTATTGTTATGAGAATGAAAACTTAATAAAAACCATGACTATAATTATAATTATTGTTTTTAAAATATTTACTACTGAAGTTATGATAAAAAAATGTCTGTGTGAATCTATGATTTACCTTAGCGTTAAAATGAAAACGATCGACGCCATTCCAGTTATCGAGATCGTAAGCGGTGTAATGTTTGCAACAGGCGGCGACTTTGAGTCGGTTTCCGACAGCATTGCCCTGAAGTCCTCGGACATAACTCGCCGCATATTTTCCGGCGACGACCGGATCTTCTCCGGGAGTCTCTTGGCCGCGGCCCCACCGTGGGTCTCGGAATATGTTCACGTTAGGGCTCCAATAGCTCAGGCCGGCCATTCCCCCGTTGTACATTGCTCTCGCCTCATCCGACACAACCTATATTATCAACATTTGAATATTTTTATTACTTTTTTTCATTTCATTAATTATTTTGAAAAGGTTTATTGATTTGTCATACTTTTTTTTTGTGTGTGTGTGTATTTTCTGCCCATCACCATGTTATTAGATTATATATATATATGATGAGTCAAAATAAAAGCTTTGTTTTCGGAATTTAGCTCTATATATTTTATATTGTGATATTATATTATAAGTTTTGGATTCTTCTAACCTACTGAAACCATCCTTTTTAACTTTTTTGGTGCACTCCTGTCATGGTCAGCCAACTACGATATGCGTGTAATAGAATTTGCAAATATATATATATATATATATATATATATATATATATGTATGTATTTATGGATTTAACTTAAGCCAATCGAACTCTTGTGCTTCGACCAAATATCGACGTCCTTTTTCCAAAAGCATGTGATTGTAAGCAAACAAGACAAAAGTTACAGAATGATATATATATATATATATAATATTAATTGACAAATATAAATTAAACTTTTAATATATTTAGATTTTTAAACAATCCATTATATATCGCCCAGTACAATTTGTTGTCTAATTCGTGAGATCATAGTTTCAAACCATCCTTTAGAGACTCAAGTAAATAAATGATCGAATACCTTTATATTTATATATATATATACACACACACACTTACCCGTCCAATCTCTTCCCATAAGGACTGGTTGAAAGAGGCGGCGGTGGTGATGACCTGAGGGAAACTGGTGGCGCCGGGAAATTGACCGCCGAACCTAACGCCGGGGCCCACGTCGGAGACGCCCTCTTCCCATAAGGACTGGTTGAAAGAGGCGGCGGGGGTGATGACCTGAGGGAAACTGGTGGCGCCGGGAAATTGACCGCCGAACCTAACGCCGGAAACGCCTCAATTATCCTCCATCTGGTTATTATGAGTCGATTGAATTTCCACGTCACTTGGAAATATACACGATTTGGAATATATAATATGGTCCATAAGATTAGATATGTCACTGTGGTGTGAGAAATATTTGAGAGATGCGTGAGTGAATTTGATAGCCGTCGTAAGAGGAAAATATTATATGACTGATATTAACTTTCCAATCGTAATTGTAGTAATTATACTGAAAAAAATATACAAATTTTTTTTATTAATGTAATGTAATCATTGTGTTACGGTGGAATTACAAAAAACCAATACTAATAAAAAAGGTTGTTGGAATATGCAATGTGATGAAAAGAGGAACTACCATTGCATATGGGCATTGAAACTTATATACATTTCAGGAATATATATATATATAACGTAAATTAATAAATAGAAAAAATTATATAAAACGTAAAAGCTGAGAAAGAAGAGTGTCACGGACCAAACGAATCTTTTGGCAGCTCTCGAGCAAATAGCCATTCAGCCCTTAAGTCATGTTGCTCCCCACCACTTCTCATGCAAACTATATTTTCTCTTTATTTATTTTTATTTTTACTAATAAATCACTTTTTCAAAACAACTGTATTGTTATGAGAATGAAAACTTAATAAAAACCATGACTATAATTATAATTATTGTTTTTAAAATATTTACTACTGAAGTTATGATAAAAAAATGTCTGTGTGAATCTATGATTTACCTTAGCGTTAAAATGAAAACGATCGACGCCATTCCAGTTATCGAGATCGTAAGCGGTGTAATGTTTGCAACAGGCGGCGACTTTGAGTCGGTTTCCGACAGCATTGCCCTGAAGTCCTCGGACATAACTCGCCGCATATTTTCCGGCGACGACCGGATCTTCTCCGGGAGTCTCTTGGCCGCGGCCCCACCGTGGGTCTCGGAATATGTTCACGTTAGGGCTCCAATAGCTCAGGCCGGCCATTCCCCCGTTGTACATTGCTCTCGCCTCATCCGACACAACCTATATTATCAACATTTGAATATTTTTATTACTTTTTTTCATTTCATTAATTATTTTGAAAAGGTTTATTGATTTGTCATACTTTTTTTTTGTGTGTGTGTGTATTTTCTGCCCATCACCATGTTATTAGATTATATATATATATGATGAGTCAAAATAAAAGCTTTGTTTTCGGAATTTAGCTCTATATATTTTATATTGTGATATTATATTATAAGTTTTGGATTCTTCTAACCTACTGAAACCATCCTTTTTAACTTTTTTGGTGCACTCCTGTCATGGTCAGCCAACTACGATATGCGTGTAATAGAATTTGCAAATATATATATATATATATATATATATATATATATATGTATGTATTTATGGATTTAACTTAAGCCAATCGAACTCTTGTGCTTCGACCAAATATCGACGTCCTTTTTCCAAAAGCATGTGATTGTAAGCAAACAAGACAAAAGTTACAGAATGATATATATATATATATATAATATTAATTGACAAATATAAATTAAACTTTTAATATATTTAGATTTTTAAACAATCCATTATATATCGCCCAGTACAATTTGTTGTCTAATTCGTGAGATCATAGTTTCAAACCATCCTTTAGAGACTCAAGTAAATAAATGATCGAATACCTTTATATTTATATATATATATACACACACACACTTACCCGTCCAATCTCTTCCCATAAGGACTGGTTGAAAGAGGCGGCGGTGGTGATGACCTGAGGGAAACTGGTGGCGCCGGGAAATTGACCGCCGAACCTAACGCCGGGGCCCACGTCGGAGACGCCGTGTAGAGCCTCGGACCACCACTCGTATCCTCCGATGCCGAGCCGTGGCACGGCGGCGGCGTTGTTCACGAGCAGCCGGATCTTCTCCTGCAATGTCAGCCGTCCGATCAAGTCCTGGACCCTGAGGTGGAGCGGGACATTGACTCGGCAGAACCTGAGCGTCCGTGTCAACCCGTTCGCCGGATCGCATGCGAACGGTGGCCGAGCCGACTCGGACGCGTGAACCAACCATAATACGAGTAGTAGTTGCACCACGAGTTTGTTACTCGTTGATATTTTATTACACGACATGCTTTTATGTGTATGTGTATGTATACATGTAAGTGTTTTTTTTTTCGTGTGTTTTGATTTGTGGGGGGGAATATGAATGGGTATTTATAGAGATTTTTTCGGGACATGCCAATGACAAAGATATACAATCTTTTTTACCACCATTTTTTTAAATAAAAAAGAAAAAAAGAAAGAGAGATGCATATCACAATTGAAATTGATAGATGCGAATGTGTATATATATATATATATATATTTAAATTAATGATGTATTTTTAATTATGTTCACGATATCTATATTTAAAAAACCAGCTAGAAGTGCCAATCAGCAATAATTCAAACGCCTCAATTATCCTCCATCTGGTTATTATGAGTCGATTGAATTTCCACGTCACTTGGAAATATACACGATTTGGAATATATAATATGGTCCATAAGATTAGATATGTCACTGTGGTGTGAGAAATATTTGAGAGATGCGTGAGTGAATTTGATAGCCGTCGTAAGAGGAAAATATTATATGACTGATATTAACTTTCCAATCGTAATTGTAGTAATTATACTGAAAAAAATATACAAATTTTTTTTATTAATGTAATGTAATCATTGTGTTACGGTGGAATTACAAAAAACCAATACTAATAAAAAAGGTTGTTGGAATATGCAATGTGATGAAAAGAGGAACTACCATTGCATATGGGCATTGAAACTTATATACATTTCAGGAATATATATATATATAACGTAAATTAATAAATAGAAAAAATTATATAAAACGTAAAAGCTGAGAAAGAAGAGTGTCACGGACCAAACGAATCTTTTGGCAGCTCTCGAGCAAATAGCCATTCAGCCCTTAAGTCATGTTGCTCCCCACCACTTCTCATGCAAACTATATTTTCTCTTTATTTATTTTTATTTTTACTAATAAATCACTTTTTCAACGCACTAATTGATAAAGAAAAAAGAAAAACATAACATAAATGAATGAAATTCAACAGTCCGTGAATTTAAGATTGTCCGATTTACTAATTCTATAAAGTATTTACCTAATAACTTCCAAATCAAACACGCCCTATATAAGTCCTATTTTATAATATTTAAATTTGGTATGCGCCATAATTTTTTTTCATGTCAGTATTTGCATTTTTTTTTCACAAACAAAATGCTCCGGTTTCATTTAAAAAAATTCCGAATGGCACCAAAATGCATTTATAAATGACGCCGATTTTAAATATAAACTTTATATGATCACAAAATATATTGTTCTATAAGAAAAATGCCCATGAGGGCTTTTTTTTCTTACCATGTCGAATTAATTGTAACCGAGTTATGTTTAAAAAAAAAACCTACTAAGTTGAAATTTATTGATATTGAGAACTGAAATTGAAATTATATAACGGTTATATGTATACAAATAATTTGGAGAAAAAAATGCATGAGTGTCATATTTGTACGTAGCATTTTCTGTCAATGGAATGTGAACGCATATATAAACTTATTATGCGATTTATATTTTCTTCACTTAATAAATAAAAAACCAACAAAAGAGAAATAATGGAAAGAGACATCCTACAAAAATATTACCACAACTAATATATATGAACCAAATTGGCATATGTCTTATTACGAAAATAAGTATATTATTAGTTGCTGGTCAATTTCTGACAAAATAAGTAGCGGAGCAGTTCGGAGGTTGAATAAACATAAGCCAAAAAAAAAAGTTTATATAAAATTGTAAATAATTTCAGAAATGTAATAAGTGGAATCTTTTGGTAAATATTGGTCGAGGGATTTTCCTTTGTAGCATTCACAGGTTGCCTAAACAGTACAAACACTTCTATTTTATTTACAGACACGTGATGATGCCCCATCTCGTGACTCATTATTTTACCTCTTGTTTTTTTCACTTTTTATTTTATTTTTTTTCTTTTTAACGTCATAAAACATATATATTTAATATTTAGACTTTCGTTTATATTTAATACTGAAAATATGGTTAAGTTAAATTGTTAACAAAAAAACTTCAACAAGAGAACTTCACATACGCATGGAAAAAAATCTTAGATATCCGATTCCCTTCCAGAAATTATTTTAAATATATGTTCCAAATAATGTTTACATAATAGATAATTTTAATTAAAAAGTTAGTATTTTAGAAAATATGTTTTTATATTTACGAAATTAAATAAATACTCTCAGTATTTTTGTCTTTATAGATGTATAGATGCAGGTTCCTATGGGACCAAATGCTTCCTTTTCTCAATTTATAACTTTATGGAATATATAACGAGAGAGAAGAAAATAAACGATCGAGAATTCTTCTGATTTGATGTGTTCGTTTAGCTTGTCGAATAGATTTTTTAGTGATTATCCATGCCACGTCAGCCTTCAAAATCCCAGATTACGTGCTAATCCCACGCAAACTTGTTATTTATTGATAATAAATTAATAATGATTTTAAGGTATGCTGTTGGAGCGTCGT